TGGTCTCCTGGCTGGATCCCCAGCCAATGGCCAGGCACTGGGGGAGGGGGACGTAGGGAGGAGGAGGTGGGGTGTTTTGAGGGTGGGGGAGGGGAGCATGATGTGCTGTGATGTGATGCATTGTTCTGCTGCCAGCATCACCTTCTGCTTTATCGCTGGAGCCATTTGGGGGGCACTGAGGCATGAAATAACTAAAGGTTCCACAGGGGCGCAGGGCTCAGCTCTGGGGAGGGAGATCAGCTGGCTCAAGACCCCTCCCCAGCCCTGCCTGTGCTGCTCGCTCTCAACACTGAGCCAGCTCAGTGCCAGCTCCCTGCCAGCCCAGCCCTGGGTGCCCCAGCTTTGCTGATGACCCTCAGTCCTGGCCCGCAGCCCCTGCTAGCCCAGCCCAGGCTGCCCTTCAGTTCTGCTGGTGTCCTTCAATTCAAAGCTACCACGCTCATTTCCCAGCTCTGCCCTCACTCCTGACCTCCAGTCACTTCCCAACTGTTCCAGGGGAATCCTGGCTTGGGGTAATGTCTCAGGGCCCCAGGTTCCACACTTGCCAAGTGTCCTTCCCAGCAGCTCTCCCGGGAGCCTGGGCCACCCGTGCTGGGCACACAGGGTACTTGCTCCATTGCACCTAGCTGCACAGCAGGGTGGAGCCAGGGGCCCCCAACCCGAGGGCAGATGCCCACTCAGAGGCAGCCCTCTGGTCCTGTGTCTCAGTCCTGCTCCTGGGCAGTGGGGGTGAGAAGCGCGATGTGACGTAGTGGGGGGCTGTCTGCTCTGTAACCCGGTGTTCCCCTGCGCTGTGCTGTGTGATTCCCATTGACTCACCCACGTGTATTAGCCCAGACACAGACACCTAGGCCCAGCCTGACCAGATAACAAGGCACTTCCCAGGGGAGAGACAAAGGGAGGGAGGCGGAGACGAACACCAGGTTTGGTGGGAAGGGGCAGTTGCTGGCTGGTAAACAGGGAGTGCTCTGTAACCCGGTGTTCCCCTGCGCTGTGCTGTGTGATTCCCATTGACTCACCCACGTGTATTAGCCCAGACACAGACACCTAGGCCCAGCCTGACCAGATAACAAGGCACTTCCCAGGGGAGAGACAAAGGGAGGGAGGCGGAGACGAACACCAGGTTTGGTGGGAAGGGGCAGTTGCTGGCTGGTAAACAGGGAGGCTGAAGGCGTGGGGGGGGGGGGGGGGAATGGACCTCCTAACCCATGAGGTCTGAGGCATCCTGGCCCTCACTCCTGTAGCCACATCATGTCCTGTAGCATATTGTACCCTGGAGAAGCAATAAACCCCTCTCAATTCTACTGGCTGGCGGAGTCTGTTCTTGTTGCTACGGGACTGCAGGATCGGGGGAACCCCAACTCACTGTCACAGTGGTGTCAGAAGTGGGAGACACTGCACCCCGTGGATGGAGCTTCCAGCAGCGAGTGACAAGGAGCAGTAGAAGGAAGGGGCTTGCAGGAGCCAGACGTGCTGGAGACAGAGCGAAGCGGTTCCTGGGAGACATGGGATGCTGCAGCACTCGGTCAATGAGTCTATACTCCGAGGATCAGCAGGGAGATGGCCTATTTCTGACTCCTGAAGGCAGACCTTGTGGGGCTGTGCAGAGAGAGGGACTTGCCCATAGGGAAAGCAACCAAGGCCCAGTTGATTGCCCAGCTGGAAGAGAATGACCCATCCAGGGGCCTGGATCCTGTCCCAGAGGGGAGCAGCCAGACACCCCCTGGGAGCATCTCAGTTTCTCAGACCAGACGGAGGACTGGAGCCTGCCAGAGAGACGCGGTGCCTACCAGGCCACACTCTACCAGCAGCTGTTCATCCAGGGCAGGGTCCATTCTGGCCGAGCTATGGTGGGTGGAGATTGAGCTGCGGCTAAAGGAGTTAGAGGACTATAGAGAGGAATGCTAGGAATGAGAGAGGCAGTGGCAACATGAGCTGGCCATGGCAGAGCAGAGAAGACGAAGGTCCCCAACTGCGGTGAGTGGAGAGGACCCCAGGGGGTCCGGGGTGGCTAGAAGCTTTGAAAAGCTCGTATTGGCCCAATGTAAGAACGTGGGAGACATGGACGGGTTCCTTAGCCCCTTTGAGCAAGCCTGTGAACTACACCAGATCCCCCGCTACAGACCGGCTCCAACAGCTCCCCCCCTTGCTGGATCAGGAGGCCTCAGGGGTGCTCAACCAGCTGGAGAATCTACAGCCAGGTGAATGGGTCAAGATCAAAGAGGCCTGCTGCACAAGTTCGGGCTGACAATTACACAGTTATGAGTATCTGAGTTACTGAACCAAAGTCTTGCTCACTAGATTGCAGGCCAGTTGCTGTTTTCATGTTACAGGCCTTCAATACTGCCGCAAGTGGGTGTGCAGGATTGGAGCCCAGACCGCAGAGGACCTGCTTAAGCCGATGATGCCGGAGCAGTTCTGTGAAGCCTGCCCACCCAGCCTGAGGCTGTAGCTCAAGGACAGGAAGCCAGAGGACCCCCAGGAAGCTGGGAGGCTGGTGGATGAGTTCACAGAGAGCTGGTCCAGGGGTGAACAAAAGTCCCGGAGAGAAAGGGAATCGCACAGACCGGTTCTTGGCTGAGCAACAGAGAGAATCACTTACGAGGCGAGCCCAAGAGACAAGGACCAGACATCTGCACCCCAGAGAAAAAGCCAGAGACCAGGAGCCGGCCCAAAGGTCCAAACTTGCCATCGCTGTGGGCAGAGGCCACAAGAGGGCTCAGTGCACCAGAGACCAGGACAGGTCCCAGGACCTGAGACTTTCCAGGATTAACTGGCTGGAGCTGGAGGAAGGGCAGGCTGCCCCAGAAGCAGGGGCCGGCAGGCAAACCTCAGCTCAGAGTGGGGGGAAGGATGCTCAGTGCCCCTCCCCTGGGAGGTCTGACCCTTGGGAGGAGGATTTCTCCATGTACCGGGTGGGGACAGGGTGGCCCTTGTGGAGCGAGTGCCTCGTGCCCCTGCAGGTGGATGGCAGGGAGGTGACGGGCTACTGGGACACGGAGGCGGAGGTGGCACTGGCCCAGCCCGAGGTCGTAGCCCCAGACCACATGGTACCTAACACTCAGCTGACCCTGAGGGGCATAGACAGGACCCCATTTAAGGTGCCTATAGCCCAGGGGCATCTGAAATGGGGGGCTGAGGGCCCCAAGGAAGTGGGGGTGCACCAGCACTTGCCCATGGAGGTGCTGATGGAGGGGGACATAGAGGAGTGGGCGGACAGACCCCACAGGGCCCTGGTCACCACCCGTAGCCACAGCCAGAGAGGGGCTGGTAACCCTGACCTAGGGGAGGGCTCCCTGCAGGGTACACAGGGCCCCATCCCAGCAGACATGGAGCCCAGCCAGGTTGGGACTCGAGACCTAGGTGGGGGGGGGAGCAGGTCCCTACCCCTGCCCCAGCTGCTGAATTCCAGGTGGAGGTGCAGGCAGACCCCTCCTTGCAGATGCTGAGGGACCAGGCTGGCCTTGATGCAGCTCAGCCCCTGGGGAAAGGCTGCCAGGAGAAATTCCTGTGGGAGAGGGGATTCCTGTACTGGGAATGGCTCCCCGCCCCCCCGGAAGGTGAGGGAATGGAGGGGGTCCAGCAGCAGCTGGTAGTTCTCCAAAAGTATCGCTGCAAGCTGCTGTATCTGGCCCATGATGTCCCATTTGTGAGCCACCGGCGCACACAGCTGAGGCTGCTCCAAAACTTGTACTGGCCGGGGATATTTGCGGCCGTGCAGTGGTATTGCCGGCCCTGTGACTCCTGCCAGAGGGTGGGGAAGGCCCAAGATGGGAGGAAAGCTGCTTTGAGGCCCCTACCCTGTATAGAGAAGCTGTTCCAGAAGGCAGCAATAGAGATAGTGGGGCCTATCGGCCAGGCGACCCAAATGGGGAACAAATACATCCTGGTAGCAGTAGATTTGGCTACCAACTGACCCGAGGCCTTGGCTCTGCCCTCTAGCGAGGCAGACACGGTGGCAGATGCACTGCTGGCCATTTTCAGCAGGGTGAGGTTCCCCCAGGAGTTCTCACGGACCAAGGATCCAACTTCACATTGGCCGCGCTCCAGTGCTTGTGAGAGAAGCACAAGGCCCGGCTCACCTGGGTCCCAGTGTATGGCTCCTGGTCCAGCAGGCTGGTGGGGAGGTTCCAGGGGACCCTGAAGCAGACGCTGGAGGCCTTTATGCACCGGCCCCCGCAGAACTGGAACAAGTACCTGCCCCACCTGCTGTCTGCACACGGGGAGGGGCCCTGAGGGTCTGCCAGGCTCTCCCCGACACAGCCAGGGTGCAGAAGGGGGAAGGACCCCCTGGGCTTGCTGAGAGAGTTATGGGAGGGGGAGACCTCCCTGGATGGAGAGTCGGGGTGGAAGATGTCTTAGCTTTCCGGGAAAGGCTCGCGGGGCTCATGGGCCCGGCCAGAGAGACTCTGGCCAGAGCTCAAGGGCAGTGGAAGGGCTGGTACGCCCACAAAGGATGGGACCGTGCTGGCCCCCTCAAAGTCGGGCAGAGGGCCCGAACTTGCCCAGGTCACAGGTGGAGTGACCCTGCCCAGTTCGCTCTCGGAGGGAGGAGAGATATGCCGTAGTGGGGGGCTGTCTGCTCTGTACCCGGGGTCCCCCTGGACCGTGCTGGCCCCCTCAAAGTCGGGCAGAGGGCCTGAACTTGCCCAGGTCACAGGTGGAGTGACCCTGCCCAGTTCGCTCTCGGAGGGAGGAGAGATATGCCGTAGTGGGGGGCTGTCTGCTCTGTACCCGGGGTCCCCCTGGGCTGTGCTGGGTGATTCCCACTGACTCACCCACATGGGGATTGGCCCAGACACCCAGGCCCAGCCTGAGCAGATAAGGCACTTCCCAGGGGAGAGACAAAGGGAGGGAGGCGCAGACAAACACCAGGTTTTGGGGGAAGGGGCAGTTGCTGGCTGGTAAACATGAAGGAGACAGCCTAAGCTGAAGGCTGAGGGTCTGGGGGAGGAGGGAATGGACCTCCTAACCCAAGGGGTGCGAGGCATCCTGGCCCTGACTCCTGTAGCCACATCACGTCTAGGCTGTGCTGTATCCTGGAGAAGCAAAAAAACCCCAATCTACTGGCTGGAGGAGTCTGTTCTTGCTGCTACGGGGGTGCAGGATCAAGGGAACCCCGACTCGCCAACGCACCAGGCCAGGCTGTTGGGACTGGGACTGGCCTTCGCACTGACCCCCTGGTGTCTCAGTCTCTTTGCAGGCTCTCAGAAGCCTTTCCCTGACCTGCCCCTGGAGACCAGCCCTACACCTGACCAGACACTGCCACCGTGGTCCCCCCACCCCCAGCCAGAGCCGTGCAGAGCTGCAGGCCTGCCAGAAGCTGGGTACCGCCTGCGCCATCTGCTTCGTCTTCATGGTCGGCGAGGTCATAGGTAACCCGGGAGTCCCCATACACCCCATGCTGCGGGGCACCCTGCTCTGCACATGGCCTGTGTGCTGGCCAGATGTGGGCCCAGCACTCGCTGCATGGCCTGGGGCAGCCCCCAGCTCTGTGGGGTGGGCAGCTCCCCATGCCTGCTGCCAGGGTCCCTCCACTCATGGGAGGGCAGCTCCCTGGCAGTGCAGTGGAGTGCTAGGGAAGGAGTCAGGCTGAGGGACCACCTGGGGCAGGAGGGGGTACAGGGGCCCCGCCAGGGAACTGACACTGAGCTGGCTGCTCTCTCCTCCTGCAGGTGGGTACCTGGCGCACAGCCTGGCCATCATGACTGACGCTGCCCACCTGCTGGCAGATGTGGGCAGCATGTCGGTCAGCCTCTTCTCCCTGTGGGTCTCCGCCAGGCCGGCCACCAAGACCATGAGCTTCGGCTGGCACCGCTCAGGTAAGAGGCTCGTTGTCCCCCCAGTGATCCAGTGAGCCTGGCAACATCCTAAGTTCCTTGCACCTGCCACCCTGCCATGCCAGGGCCCAGCCAGGGACAGCTTATTGCACCCTAGCCCCAGCAAGGCAGGGCCCAGCCTTGAGTATAGCAGGTGCCCTCCCTCCCTTCGGCTCCTGGGGACCTGAGGGGTGCAGAGAGTCACCAAAGCGTGAGGGAGACCCCATGCCCTGCCCCCACATCCACAGCCCGAGGGGACTCTCAGGTGGCAGGTAGAAGAGAAGGTTTATTGGTTCCCAGGGACACAGCGTAGCCCAGACTGGGTGTCACAGGAACCAGGAGCCGCCAGTTCTATCCATATTGGGGAGAGAGGGGCCCGGACCCAGGATCTGGCTCTTGACCCACTCCCAACTGCCCAGCCTTAGTCCCCCTCGCAGGCTGCTCCGCCAGCCTTTGTCCTGCTTGGGGGCCAAGGTGTAACTTCGTCGCACCCTCCTCCCAGTCAGGTTACAAAGGGCATTGGCCATTGTGTATGTGCTGGGCTGGGCTGGGCTACAGCAGTGTCCCTCAGTGAGTCACACCTGAAATCCCCACTCACCAGCTAGGTAGTACCCAGGGAAACTGAGGCACATACAAAGGGTTACTATAGGACTCTCATGCAATATAGAAAGGTGCTCAAATCCTGCCTTTGTCATGCAGAGCCTCCCACACACCCCAGGCTGGCCACCTGAAAGAACACAGGCATCATGGATCCCCAGAGCCTGGGCCGTGCCCCGGCTTGTCAGCACCACATCTGTGTGACACCCCTCCAGGGAGTCCCACCCTCCCTCTAGGGTTGGCCATGCAGCCTCACCACCTTCGAGACCCTGGCTTCTGCCTCAGCCAGAGAGTCCAGTGAGCCAGATGTGCCTGCAGCCATATCACATCAGGCAGCCTGTCTCGGTCTCCTGGGCCCGGCCAGGGGAGCCCTTGGTTTGGCCCAGAGACATGAGAGCCCAGACCGGTCCAGCTGGCTAGTGCCATGCTCTGGAGTAAGGCAGCCATGGATTCCTAGCCAGCAGGTTAGAGCGACCACCTCTCTGTGAGCCCAGCTCCCGACTCAGCTCCTGTCACAGCTGTTCCATGGTTCTGCAGCACTCTGTCAGGCTCTCCCATCGGTGGGGCCAGGCCTTCATCCCCTCTTGTCTGCTGGGGTCTGGTTCACGTCAGGCCTAATGGCCCCCTGGAGTGGCTCTAGGCTGCCCTGGCACCGTCTCCTGCCCTAGGCATCATGTACACAGCAGCACAAAGCACAGAGAGAAACTGAGGCACAGAAGGGCCTCCCACAGACATTACCAGCATCCCTGCAGCAGTGGACACCACAAACAGCTCTTTAGCCCCTGCCTCCCCAAGGACCATAGTGGGCTGGCCAAGGCCACTCCCTCTGCCCCACTGCTCTTGTCCCCTCTGACCAGCACCCTGTGCCCGCAGAGACGCTGGGTGCCCTGGCCTCGGTGCTGTCCATCTGGGTGGTGACTGGAGTCCTGGTGTACCTGGCCTCCGCCCGCATCATCAGCGACAACTACGAGATCGACGCACGGGCCATGCTGGCCACCTCTGCCTGCGCTGTGGGCGTCAACATCATGTACGTGGGCCCAGCCCTGTTCCCCACCTCTGTGTCCCTGACCTCATCCCCAGAGCCCTGCCCCCCCCAAGATCCCTCCTGCACCCCCAGATTCCTGCCCGATCCCCACTCCACCCCACCTCCACCTTTGCCCTGCCCCCATCACTGCCCCCCCCTCACCCCTTCTGCTTCTGCCCCCCTCACTGCCCCCACCTCGCCCCTGCCCTGCCCCCCCCAAGATCCCTCCTGCACCCCCAGATTCCTGCCCGATCCCCACTCCACCCCACCTCCACCTTTGCCCTGCCCCCATCACTGCCCCCCCCTCACCCCTTCTGCTTCTGCCCCCCTCACTGCCCCCACCTCGCCCCTGCCCTGCCCCCCCCAAGATCCCTCCTGCACCCCCAGATTCCTGCCCGATCCCCACTCCACCCCACCTCCACCTTTGCCCTGCCCCCATCACTGCCCCCCCCTCACCCCTTCTGCTTCTGCCCCCCTCACTGCCCCCACCTCGCCCCTGCCCTGCCCCCCCCAAGATCCCTCCTGCACCCCCAGATTCCTGCCCGATCCCCACTCCACCCCACCTCCACCTTTGCCCTGCCCCCATCACTGCCCCCCCCTCACCCCTTCTGCTTCTGCCCCCCTCACTGCCCCCACCTCGCCCCTGCCCTGCCCCCCCCAAGATCCCTCCTGCACCCCCAGATTCCTGCCCGATCCCCACTCCACCCCACCTCCACCTTTGCCCTGCCCCCATCACTGCCCCCCCCTCACCCCTTCTGCTTCTGCCCCCCTCACTGCCCCCACCTCGCCCCTGCCCTGCCCCCCCCAAGATCCCTCCTGCACCCCCAGATTCCTGCCCGATCCCCACTCCACCCCACCTCCACCTTTGCCCTGCCCCCATCACTGCCCCCCCCTCACCCCTTCTGCTTCTGCCCCCCTCACTGCCCCCACCTCGCCCCTGCCCTGCCCCCCCCAAGATCCCTCCTGCACCCCCAGATTCCTGCCCGATCCCCACTCCACCCCACCTCCACCTTTGCCCTGCCCCCATCACTGCCCCCCCCTCACCCCTTCTGCTTCTGCCCCCCTCACTGCCCCCACCTCGCCCCTGCCCTGCCCCCCCCAAGATCCCTCCTGCACCCCCAGATTCCTGCCCGATCCCCACTCCACCCCACCTCCACCTTTGCCCTGCCCCCATCACTGCCCCCCCCTCACCCCTTCTGCCTCTGCCCCCATCACTGCCCCCACCTCACCCCTTCTGCCTCCTCTGCCTCCCACATCACCCCTCCTGCCTCTGCCCAGCTCCTGTCACAGCCCCCTGCCTCGCCCTTCCTGCTGTGCCTGCCCTGGAAG